CCACTTGTTGACCACAACACATCTACCATAAATGGATGGATCACACTCTTGACCTTCGTTTTTATTAAAGAAACGTCACCGTTGTTTCCCCGCTCGTTCTCCTGCTCCTTGAAATTCCTTATTTGCATTGAAATTCGAAAAACCGACTGCCTCTCTCCCTCCCTGCCTGCCTGGCTCGCTAATCTAGACAGAGCAAGAAAGAGAAGAAAGAAAACGCTCACAGAAGAAAATGGAGAACAACCGGAGCCAAAATGGCGGCGGAGCACATCCCGCTCCGGCACCTATCAAAATATCGAGCCTCAACTGCATCGATCTCTCGAATCCTGACATCCAGCAAACCGTCTCTTCCCTCAAACAGGTCTCTTCGATTCCAGAAGCCTCTCGCCGTCTTTGTTCTTGATGGATGTGTTGATAATTCGTAATTGTTTTCAGTATCTGCTGTGTTTGTTGTGTCTATGGTGGAAAATCTTTCAGCTTAATTTTTTTTTTCCTGGAATTTTGAATTTGTGTGTTTCTGTTTTGTTTGGTTTAGGCGTGTTTGGATTGTGGATTTTTCTACGTAGTAAATCATGGAATCAGCCAAGAATTCATGGACGAGGTGTTTGCGCAGAGCAAAAGGTTTTTCCAGTTGCCGTTGAATGCGAAAATGAAGCTTTTGAGGAACGAGAAACATCGAGGTTACACTCCTATCCTCGATGAGCTTCTGGATCCTGAAAATCAAAAGCATGGTCAGCAGTTTTTTTTTTTTTTTAAGCTTATTTGGCGTTTATTATTGTGCAGTCATGTTTCTTAAGAGCTAGAGTACTGATTGTTTTCCAATTTGGTAGTAGGAGACTACAAAGAGGGATATTATATAGGTGTTGAAGTTCCAGAAGATGATCCTGATGCCGAGAAGCCATTTTATGGACCTAATGTTTGGCCTTCAGAAGGTAGCTTTGTAACGTTCCTTTTGCAGCAGATTATGCTACTTGGTATTGGCTTTTTGTTCTTGAATTTAGCTTCAAGAAAAACTAAATTTTGATTTTTTTTTTTTTTTGTCGATTTTAGTATGGAGTAGACGTAAAATAGCAGCGACCGTGTTAACTATTTAGCTTTTGCTTTGAAAATTGTTGAAGGCAACTTCTTACTTTTTGCCAAAAAGTGAATTCATCCCTTTTGGTTCTTTAAAGAGAATATTTAAGGTGTTACTAATACTACCTATACTCTTGTTTTGCTTTGTGAGTGAATTTATAAGGAAAAGGGTAAAAATCACTACTAGATAGATTGTATTACGCATTGCTAACTTTTGCAATTTGTTTGGCTTCGGTTAGATATTTTGCCTGGATGGAGGCAGACTATGGGGAAATTCCATCATGAGGCATTGTAAGTTATAGTTAGCATTCATTTATAAAGAGTAGTCATACTCTTCTATTGTCTTCAATAAAATGTGTTAAAAAAGTTGCAAATCATAATTTCTTTTTTTTTTTTTTTGTTAATAGTATAGTCTTTATGTGTGAACAGGGAGGTGGCTAAGTCAGTTGCAAGGATCATAGCACTTGCTCTTGATCTAAATGCTGACTTCTTTGATAAGCCTGAGATGCTTGGCAAGCCTATTGCGACATTGCGTTTGCTACATTATGGAGGTGAAAGTTCATGTAACACCTTTTATGAACAAAGAGGTTTGTTGTTCTAATTTATATAACTCTGTGCACGTCATATGTGTTCAGGTCAAATTTCTGATCCCTCAAATGGACTATATGGAGCTGGAGCACATTCTGACTATGGATTGATTACCCTTTTGACCACAGATGATGTCATGGGTCTGCAAGTATGAAGGATGCTATTAATTTTTATTATTTTTCTGCAAAGATTTTGCAATCACTTAGCTTTTATATAATTTACTTCAGATATGCAAGGACAAAGATGCTAAGCCCCAAATCTGGGAATTTGTAGCGCCATTGAAAGGGTAAGTGGTTGATGCAATGGTAGAGATTGGTTCCCTACAGTTATGTCAGAGGCATGCAAGCATGCGGTGCATTATGTGTGCATGTAGCTATTCCTGCCTCATGTTCTGCCTCATGTTTTGTCAGAGTATTGATATGCATGTACCTGTCATATTTTGATTCAGTCTAGGTTCTTTTGTACATGTTTTCTGGATATTTTCTGTTCCTATATCAAGTACAACCATTTTGCTTGTTTATCTTTGATTGTTTCACTGTGCATGTACATATCATGTGAATTGCACTTGTGTTCTATATATTTAAAATTGATTGAATATCCATAAGGATTAAGAATAAAAAGCAGTCTAAATGATGAAAATAAAGGGTAAGTACTTGTAGTTCTGGCATAATGACATCATATGCTCTTGACCTTTTTCAGAGCATTTATTGTGAATCTTGGTGACATGCTGGAGCGCTGGAGCAACTGTATTTTCAAGTATGTGCAATTTCTCCGAGAGGTTATAGTCGTTAATGCATTTCATTCATTATAATTGGTAGGAAATGAGAGGTGGATTGTAAGTAGCTTTTAATATCTTGTCCTCTCCACAACATCTATGTTCAGTTATATCTAAAAATTGAAATTAAGTATGAATTAGGAAGAACAGAGTCTGGAGATTAGTTGCCTTGCATTAAGCTGTTACATGATCATCTTTCCTTTTCCTAGCGTGATTTCTCGTAATATGCAAGTTAATTTCCCTGTTACACCTTCTGCTATTCATTGTCAAGGGCACAATGAGCACCTAGCACAGCTTGTTATATAATGCACAAGGCACCAACTTCTCACCTTCTCATCCTAGAGTAAATTTTTGCCTGATTGGTTATTATTATTATTCCACTTAAATGTAGTTGAGTGGCTTCCTGAAACTACTTTTATTTATGCCTTATATTGCTATCAGTTATTTTTTTTAAACTGTGACTTCTAATTTTTATTGCATGATGCACAGTCACCTTGGCTTACTCTTTAACTGCTGATGAGTCTTTTATGTTTCATGTATGTGTGGTTCCTTTTGACATTTTCCTGTCAATTGTATAACCCAATTATTTTGCTGTCTATTTGTATCCAGGTCTACATTACACAGAGTTTTAGGGAATGGTCAAGATAGATATTCTGTAAGGCCTCACTTCATCTTCTTTTCCTTTATTTTAGGCCCTTATAATTTTCTAGCATTGGCTGCTCAAAATCGACTGGAATATTGATTTTCTTGTATTGTTTGTTATTCCTTCTCTTCTTGGAAGACTCCATTCTTTCCTATTTAACTTTTTTGTTTCTTTTCCTGTTTCAAATATTTCTATATTCGGCTGAGCCAATTTTATTTGATCTGTTCAAATTTGGTAGAAATCATCTTCTTAGTTTCATGACTGATGTGCCCATATTGGCCTTTTAAAATTTTGAAAACTATTTTGATGGCCTTGGTGGCTAAGAGAAAGTACAGTGTGTCAGTTAATTCCTTGTTAAGGGTATTTTCTCAACTTGTAGACATTACTCTCTTTGCCTTTCTATTTCAGATGTTTGGCTCAGTTCCTTCGTATCTTGATAATTTTAAGTGGCATGTCTTGTCTACCGTCTTTATGCATCATTTCTTGGAGAAAATCATTGTCTATTTCTTCTGATGGCAGATTGCATACTTCGTGGAACCTAGTCATGATTGCCTCGTCGAGTGCTTGCCAACATGCAAATCAGAAATTAATCCTCCGAAGTAAGTCTTAATGCCGAAATTGCATACTAATTAATGTTATGAGTTGAGGAATTGAACTGGGACCTTTCAGGTGAAACAACCAACCATGGGCTAGAATATATGTTAACGAGTTTCTGCTTATCTTTTACTGAAACTAATTCTATCATTTTATTTATTTTGTCCTTAGGTTTCCTCCAATCAAATGCGCGACATATCTGAGCCAGCGTTATAGAGACACACACGCTGATCTTAATGTATACAGTGAACATCAAACTTGAATACACACCACAGAATTTGCTGAAGGGTAATCAACCTTCTAATATTTTGTAAGGGCAGGGCACAAGTTATGTGGTATGTCAGTTATTAGAAATCAGTTTTACTATTTACCCCCAAAAAAAAAATATTGGAAATCAGTTTTACTGAAATGTGTAATAATAGGCTAAAAAGCAGTAATCATTCTACAAGAAATGTATTGTATTCCAATATTTATCCAAATTTATTTCTCATCTGCTTTTGCTGCACTTTTTTCTCTTTTCTTTGGGACATTAGACACAGAAAAGATACTGAGCCCTAGACATGAGCTAAAGAAACTACCAAACCATCTCCCTGTAAGAAGGGTAATCGTGCCTCTTTTTCTTCTTCTTCTTTTTTTCTTTTTTTCTTTTTTCTTTTTTTTTTTTTTGTGTGAAATAGATAGTTGATAACATGATCTTATCCCAATCCACTTTGGCTATAGTTTTCTTTTTTCTTTTAATCTAAAAATGATAGGTTATATAAGAAGAAATAACTTTCTTTTCTTTTAAATTTTTTCTCATTTAGCGTAAAATTTGAATTTAAGATTTTTAACTTAAAATTTTAAGTTTTTAATTATTAAATCACCTCTTGATGTCTACTTTTGCTATAGTTGATTAACATTATCTTATCTAATGTCCACTTTTGCTTCATAAGAGCACAAGGCCAAAATGTGGATTTTCCAAATGAAGTCCAATAATAATACATAGTACAAGTCTAGAAAGAGCTCTAGGAATGGAGGTGTTGGAACGCTGATGGGCTTAGTAGATACTAAGATGCTCGAGCCGAGCTTGCCTTGTTTAATTTAAAAAGTTTTTTTTGACTTGTTTAAAAATTAAAAGCTCATATTCAAGCTTGACACGGAAAGGAACGTATTTTCTTGATTATCTTTATTCGAGCTTGGCTCATATTCAACCTTCAAATATTTTGTATCCAGCTTGAATTAAAAATTAAATTTTTTTTATTTGACCCTGTTTCGAAAATGAACCTACTGAACTCATGCTTGACTTTAAGCAGAATACTTAAATTTAATTATTTTAATTTAACACCTCTAATATAAAAATTCAAAACTCTTAATTATTGAGTTGTTGTTGCCTAGGAAACCATGTACATAAGCGTCTAGAAGCATATGAAAAGGAGGGAGACTAATGAGAGTTCTACGTAATTGTTCATGAGATATTATTGAGGAGGATTATACAGCTTACATCGTAGCTGTTCATGTGACATGATCTAAGATTCAAAGAGTTATGGTTTGATTGGCACATAGGGTTATTTTTTATTTTGTTAATTACAGTTTGATTCTTTGAAAAAATCAATGCAACTATAATTTTTCATAAATTCTTTAGTCTTAATATAAATAAATTGTTTTTGACTAAACTAAAAATAATAAATCTTGAAGTGTGTACAAATTGACCAAAAACACCCTTGCTGCTAAAAACAATAATGTGACGCAATCTCCGCCATTGTACGTAGCATTATTACACATTAAAATAGTTATTATTATTATTATTTTGGAAAAAGAAGGAATTTGAGGGGAAGGGAGATAATCTTACAAACCTTTCATAAGCCTAGGTTTTTGGTGCACATTACGCGTCCCTAGGGCTAAGTGCAAACATACAAGAGTTTAGAACATAGCATGTTGGAGATACACTTCGGAGATAACACAACAAACCAAAAAAAAGGCGCGTTCTTTTGGGCTTGAAGCTACTTATTTGAAAACACACAAGTATAGCATATATTAGTTAAAAAAACCTCTTATTGCTCAGCGGTAATTTCGGTAGATAGGACTGTACATGCAGCTCTCAGCATACTTCACAAGATTTTCAGGACGAGGTAGACGAGTAGCCAAGCCTAATAATGAAAACATTGTGAATCAGAGATGGAATTCAAAATGTAAAATTTTAAAAATGGAGATTCAACTATAATTATCACTCACCAAGTTCATATGCCTTAGCAGCTACATTAGCAGCGATGTGGGCTGAAATTTTTCTTATATTAGAGAATGGTGGATAGATCAGTCCCTTGTCATAGTTCTCCTGAGAAACTTGACAAGCCAAGGCCTCCGCTATAAGATAAGAAAATTGAAGAATTAGTCCTCTGCTAACTTTATCATTATGAACTCTCGAATTCTTGTTGTCAAAGCTTAAATGACAAGTGGCTTCCATTTCTAGTTAGTAGAATGCGTTCAAAGAATGACTCATGAAGCATGTGGAATATGGATTCAAGCATTCTTAATTCCCTGGCTACTTACATGCTGCCAGGAGCATATCATCATGCACACGAATTGCTCCAGAAATGACCACACCCAAACCAAATCCTGGGAAAATGTAAGCATTGTTGGCCTGAATCAACAAAGAGAGTAATAAAGATCAGTCCTCGATATTCAACCTATATACAATGATAAAAGAAAATGTATGGAATAATTTTAATTGAATGACCTGGCCAGGAACAAAAACTTTTCCCTCATATTTGAAAGGATCAAATGGACTCCCACTAGCAAAAATTGCACGACCCTTCAATTTCAGAAAACAAAAAGGTTAAAAGAACATAGAAGTGAGACTCGTATACATGTTTAATCACACAACCTCCTAGTAACAAGACTAACAACAATATCACCTTCGATTAATAATGAAGGATAAACGAGCCAAAAGTGTCATACATATACCTTACTCCAAGTATAAGCTTCTTCAGCTGTACACTCAGATTGTGAAGTTGGATTGGAAAGAGCCATAATAAGAGGTTTCTGCAGGACCCCAATAACCAACAATGTCAAAATTTCAAGGAAAAAAATATAGGTATGAGTTTGACAGAAAATATATTGATATGACAACTCTTGTTCTTTAGAAGAAGGAACAAGAAAGTACCTCATTGCAAGAGGTCACAGCCTCAACTACTTCCTTTGTAAAAGTCCTTCCCACTCCAGATGAACCAATCAAAACCGTTGGCTTGATTGCCTGAGGAAGTAAGAGAAAAATTTAAGCACTAAGAACTGCTTTGAAAATCCAAACATAAACAAAGACTTGGTGTTGCACACACCTTGACAGCCCCTAATAGATCCTTAACGGGTTCATGTTCATGAGCCCAAGGCTTCTTGAAGTGTTGAAGTGATTCCTTACGTGAGCTAACAATCAGTCCCTGTGAGGGAATGCTCACATGTTATACGTGAAAATGGACATTACTGGGACGTTTTTATCTTTGGCCAGGTATCTTACCTTAGAATCCACAAGCCAGATCTTTTTACGAGTTTCTTCCAAAGGAGTTTTTGTCTACAGACAACAGATAAAATATTAAACAAATAGAACATAATCAACAACATAAATTACTCCAAATCCTAGCGAGAAAAATTAATAAGCCAAAAACAGTCCACCATTATCAACAACAAAAAAAGAAGTTAGTACCTTCTTTGAGATCTCAAGAGCTATAAGCTCAGCTATACCAGTACCAGCCTGCAACAGTGACATAAATGTAAATTTTAATTGACTTGATTATTTACAGGACTGATAAATATTGGTGACAACTGGGGACATAAATCCATTAAAATTTAATAAAACAAGAACAAAGACATCTTGTATAAGTTATGTTCTATTTCTTATCAATTAAGTTCAGGCATTATGCTCCCTTTCAATTTCCACTTCAGCTGTTCAGCAGAAGGGCAAAAACAGACAGATGCAGTATCGAAGTGAAAAGGCTGAGAACAGAGTCTTACTTCCCCAGCACCAAGGAACAAGAATGTGTGGTCAGCTAGATTACCACCAATCAACTTCAGTGCTGCAACAACCCCTGCAAGAACAACGGATGCTGTACCCTGCACCATAAGTTCATGGCAAATTAGGGAGAAACCAATTAGTTCTTCAACAAAGAAACTCATAACACCACCACTACCCCTTACCTGTATATCATCATTGAAGACAAGATGAGTTGTGCGATACTTTGCAAGCAGCTCAAAAGCATTATGATTCGCAAAATCCTCAAACTGCACCGTTTATATTAAAAGAACCAGATATAATCAGAAACGCAAGAAAACTCAAAAAATTTTACGGAATAAGGAAGCCACCCAATGTGCATGTACCTGTACAAGAACATTTTCCCCATAGTTCTGTTTGACAGCAGTCATGAACTCACGAACCAATTCATAATACTCCTAAAATGCAGCCAAAATTGCCTCCGTAAGAAAATAAGACACTTTATAAAGACTATGCTCCTTAAATCAAGCAAGATATACAATAGCGTCAAACCTGCCCAGTTGCCCTCCTTTGCCGTAGTCCAATGTAGAACTCATCATTCAACAATTGCTCATTGTTTGTACCAACATCAATGGTTATAGGCAAACACTACAATTGCGAGTACATTAAAGGAGAAATAGAAATATTATTAAATGTTGCAGTTCTACTCTTTTAATCAGGTCAACTTTTAGCCCAAGAACTTCAAATATAGATCTTGGGAATCTAATGGAAAACTTCATGAAGTGAAAAACTCTGCACTGAAAAATGCTTACCGCTGAAGGACGAATCCCTCCAAGTGCTGTGTACAAAGCCAATTTTCCAACAGGAATTCCCATACCCTAAATTTACAACATATCATGTGAAAACTAGCCCATCTTTATAGCTTAAAATCCCATAAATTGAACTAATCAATCAAAGTTTTTCTGAAATTGAAATAAATGATTGACTCAATTACCTGACAGCCAAGATCACCAAGACCCAGAATACGCTCACCATCAGTAACAACAATAACTTGAATGCTTCTTTCGGGCCAATTCTTCAAAACCTCAAGAATCTTTCCCCTACATAGTTATCACAGTAAGTTAAACTAACATACTTGGAGGAGCAGAACTTTGGAAGTGGAAGGTCATCCATACTTCTCTTTCAGACTTATATAGAGACCCTGAGGGCGCCTGAAAATACTTCCAAACTTCTGACAAGCTTCACCTACAGTTGGGGTGTAAACTATTGGGAGCAGTTCCTCAACATTATCAATGAGAAGCTTATAGAACAGTTTTCTATTCCTCTCCTGTTAACCATTAAAAAAAAGAAAAGAAAAGAAAAGAAAAGAATTCATTCCCTTTTCCTTGATTAACAGAATTTTATCACATATGAACAAATATGTAACAAATGCATTGAGAATAAGAAAAGCTGGAAAATACTTGAACGCCGAAAACAATCAGCTTTTAGTGCCAGAACTGAATGAAGATACCACAGCCAGGAGAACAGAAATCACCTGAAGTTCAGTCAAGGCCATGTACTTTTGCAGCGGAACTTGGTATTGTCTGAGTGTGTTCATCAATTTCTTCTCCTGATTTTCAGAGATTAAAAAACTTTTCATACTACAGAATTGTGTCCAGTTAATGTATTACTAGTGATTATATGAACCTGAAGCTGTTGAGTAGAAACAGCTGGAGGCAGTAGACCACGCAAGTAGTGAGCATCTCTCTCCTTCTCTGTAAATGCAAGCCCTTTGTTGTATTTTGGATCCCTCAACATTGAATACCCACTACACAATTCAAACCAAATTACATAATTTTTACGCCAAAAATTGTACCAGTACCAGCAACAACCGATCTCTGTTCCATCATTTTCTCCCCTTTTATTCTTAGTTCTTTATATATATATATATATATATATGTGTGTGTGTGTGTGTCTATGTATATATATATACATGTATGTATGTATGTAAAAAAGGAAAATAAAAGTTCCCAAAACCCAGCTCATGCAAGAAAGGATCTTTAGCAGGGAAAAAAGCGAAAATTAGAATAAAAGTTGTTTGAAAAAGTGGAAGATATCAGATTCCGAACCAAATCAAGAATAGAATGATCCTTTGGCAGAAAAAAGGATCTAAGCGTAAAAATGATCTTCTAGAAACAGGTAAAGGAAAAAGAAAGGCGACCTGGCAACGGAGTAAGTCCAGGGGGTGACAAGCTGCTGCTCGGTGGCGCGGTCTTCACCATAAACGTCCTCAACGCCACCACCGACCGTGGACTTGGGGTCCAAGTCGAGCACGGATGCACCGTCCCTCATCTCCTTCATCGTACTCTCCATGTTGTGGATCACGTTTCAGCAGTGGAAGGAAACTGTTGCAACTTTTAGTTTTAGCTGATAAAAAGCAATCTGCTCTGCGAATTTGCGATCGTACCACAGACAGTGAAGAACCGGGAACTGGGATTTGTTCAGATAATTATTGGCGTGTCGTGCCAGGGACCAAAGTCAAATCATGGGCAAAGAAAAGTCGGATAATTATTATTTTATTTTGATTATATAACAAAAAAATAATTATTTTTTATTTTATTTTATTTTTATATTGTGTGATT